TAGCCCAGCCCTAACCCGCCACACTGCCTGTATCTCAGCCCATGAATTCTTTCACCTTTACCTTTCTGAGTCTCTCCCCCATCACAGTGTGGAGGAGTGAGCAAGCAGCTGCATGGGGCTGAGCTGCTGGGTGGGATCAAATCATGACAGTGTATATATACATACACACATGTATATATGTATGTGTAGTTGAAGCATTTTTCCTGCTCCCCATCATTGCCTGAGACACTGCTGCTTGCTTCCTTTCTGGCTACATGCCAAGGCCCTCCCTGGTCCTACAGTTTTTTGTCTCCTCTCTGTGCACAGATCTACCTGCTGCTTCTGCTTCTGCTTTGTCTCATGGGGCTTGGGAGCAGCACGTTTGTCAGCAAAAAAGGGGTACTTGCTGTGGTTGGGGTCAACCCAAAACACAGTAAGCACACTGACAAACATGAGAGGAGCTGTAAAAGATCCTCTGCTTGCATCACTTCTACTTGTGCAAGCAGCTGCTAGGCATATGTTTCCCTGATAATACTGGCATCAGTAGTACTACCACGTGACTAAAGAGTGTTACTTTTTAAGAAGATTGATGGGATTTGTGGTCAGGCTGTAGTGCAGAGAGCCAGGACTAGCACTAACCCAGACAGGAAGTCCTGAGCTATAATGCCATGTTTCTCCTGTCTCTCTGTCTGTGAAAGTATTTTTAATAAGAGAGGATTTTTTTAGCCTGAGCACAGCAATGGACAGCCAGTCTTTCAGAAGCTGAGCTGGCACACATGGACAGTACTTCTGGCTCCAGAGTTAGCACGGGTGGGGCCAGGTCAGGTATCTCGGACGTAGCACACAGGTCTAAGTCCTTAGACTTATCTGCTGTATTCACAGTGTAGGGCCACTGAGATGCTGTCCTCTGGATGACAGGGGCCAGCCTTTTTCTCTGGTAGTTGGCAAGACAGAGGTCAATGTCTCTTTCAGGTAAGAGAAGGTGCACCCAGTATTTTCCAGTAATACTCCCAATAAAAGCCAAATCTTGCGGCATTACTCAGATGAAAAAGCACATTTCAGTTCCTGGTTATGAACTGAGTAAGGAACACAAGACGTAGCTTTCTTAGAGGGAATGTTGCCACCATGATGCCCCAGGGATTTTCTTTGCTGTTTTCGAATGCCCAGGGTTGTAGCTGAGCAGTTACTGAGTGACTGATAGGTGTCAGCCTTGGTTCACTCCACTGCAAGTATCAGATGGTGCAGAGCGATCTCAGATGCCCTGGATACAGCAGAAATTATAAAAAGGCAACAAGTGCAGAGCATCTGTGGGCTTTATGCCCATGCGGTTCAGTCAGAAATGTGTGTCTGTTACCTTGCTTTTGGACACAAGTGCTGATATTGAAACATTTTCTTCTTTTATGAGAGTATTCTTCACAGTTCTTAGATTCGTGCATGAAATCATCTTTATCCATTTGGAGGAGCAGTCTGATCAATTAGGAAGGTAATCCTTCGCAGGTGGGAACTGGGAAGGCTCTGTAATACTTGCTCTGCAACATTTGCAGCAGTATTTATTGCTTGTTCTGGGCCAGGATTTTGTAGGCAGCCAATATCAAGGTTCTTAATTTAGCCGCATCAGTATGACTTAAACCTATCTTAAGCTGTAGCTGTTCTGAAATCCTTTGCTGTTGACAAATTTCTCATTCTGCTGTCCATGAGCAATATTAGCGGCTTTATCTGTGACATTCAGATTCAATTCTAAAGAGGTTATAAAAGTAAAACATCACATACAATACATGCAAACAGCTATTTCCAGTCAGGTATTTTGATGCAGTTCTGGTAAACGCATAGAAATCATTCATCCAAGAACTTCCGATAAGCCTTTTAAAGAAAGTAAGTTACTCGCAATAAAACTCAAAAGGTTTGTTTCTTCTGCTGCAACAAACTGAAAAAGGGAGAGAAGCACTCTCCTCTGCATTGTTATTGGTGCCAAGATGCAGGAAGCCGGTGGCAGGTCCATACTCCAGCACAGTCCTTGTTACACAAGCGCTCAGTTGCTGGGCCAGGGCAAGTTTCCATTCATCAACGAGCACGGATGTAGTCTTTTGTCAAGCTCAGGGTACAAGAGAAGGTAGAATCCACCTGGATATGTCCCTGCCACGTTTGGATCAGTATGTTTCAGTGGTTTCTGACTGATGACATTGTCAGAACTACAGACCTGGGCATGTGAAGAGACCTATGATATAGAACAAATTCTCCATCCAGTTTTATGAGGCGGGCCTGTGTACATAAGCAGGGCTGTGCGTAACCATAGTATTAATGTATACAGAACAGACAATATGATTTTAGCTGTCTGTTCTAAATACTTGCCAAGTTTCCAGTAGTTTAATCATGATCTAATCTGAAATAATTAAATCAGATAGGGTTTTTTTTTAGAACTGTTTTTAATCTCCAGGGCTATGAATATCATCACTGGCATTACATAGCTAGAATCATTTTTGTAATAACATATGACTGTAAGTGATCAAATTTACAAAATGCTCTGTAAACAACAATCACCAAAACAGATTACTAACTGGTGATCCTGAACTCTCAACAGTTGGACCATAAGGTCATGTGAAAACCCTTAGTCTAAACTTGTGAGGTTTTATAAATCTCAAATTCAGACCTGTATCTAGAATTCATTTTTAAAAATCCATGTTATGTCTTCCACCATATTCCTGGCTGACAAAGCTTCTTGATGTAGAAGTGTTGAAAACCTAGATCTGATTTTACAACATGATTGTTTATTGTCTTAAACCAATAGACAGATTAAACAGGTAAAAGCGTGGGTTAAGTGGAAATGTAGGGACATATGTTTTAAATTTGGTTTGGTTTGTTAGAAAACATTAGGTTCTTGACTTCTGCTCCATTTAAAAATAGAATAATTGCACATGATGGAAATTTACAATACAGACCTTATTTTGCATTTCTTGTACAAATGCCTTGTGAGTTTTAGCACATGTAGTAAATAAAATGCAAGAATTGGACTACTCACTTTTCTAAAACCAATTGATTCAAGTATCTTCAAGTCTAGGCTGGAAAGGACTTTTAAGATCATTTTACCATGATACAAGTCTTTCAAATGAACAGATATGTGCAGATGAACAATCTTAGGACTTTCATTTTATATTACAGAACTCTCTGGCTTCAACTAGTGTGAGCCTGGGGTTTGTTCATCTGATTTTTCTGATATTCCTAAAATTGTATTTATCTTTGGTTTCATTTGCATATGGTTTTGATTTGTACAAACAGCAGACTGCTATCATAAAGAGTCTGTATTTAACTTGGCACTTTCCATTCCACATTCCTACTATTCATAGCACGGCAGTCATCTCTAGCACACATTAAGTTCCATTTGCAGCTGCAGATCTCAAATGTTTGAGTATTTACAAACTCACAGCATTATTTTTGTATTAATATTCAGAAGACCAGATACTAGATATAGTCAGCAGATTTTTTTTTCATCCCTACCACTCTCATGAAATGCATGACACTGAAAGAAATTAAAGCTGTGTCTGTAGTAAGGAACCCCCGCACTTAAAACTAGTTTCATGTAGGCCTTTGTTCTTATGGGAAAAGCGGCAGAAACTACATAGGCAGAAGAATTTGGTCTTGAAGACACAATTGTGGGATCTCAGCCTAAACTGTTAAGTAACATGAAGAATAAAATATTCATCTATTTGAACAACAAGACTACCTAAAATGTGTGAGAATAAAGGCATCTGTGCCAGAGTAATGATTTTTTATTACTGGAGCTTCACCAGGAAGAATTTGAACCTGTTGAATTATTTGTAAGCAATATATTTTCTCTTCTGTTGCTAATTGGTAGCAGAATGTGGTAAACAAAACCAATTTTCTAAATGCCTTTGAATATTTTCTTTCAAATTATTTTATCTTTGACAGAAGATATAATTCCTACTAACTGTGTTTTCAAGCAAATATAGACAGTCATTATTCTTTTTCTTACAGTTTCCAACATGCAACTCCCTTCTAAAAATACAAGCTTGAACTGTGGAAATAAGTTGATTTTTTTTTCTTGATAGTATCCTTCTGTTGGTGTGCTTTTCTAGAGCCCAAGGAAGAAGAATTTAATCTCAAAAATTAGAAAACAGATTTTTGATACATAAAGTTCCATAAGACTCACAGCCTATTTCTTCTTTAATGATTATGACTATGAATGGCAAATGCTTATTCCTTAGAAATACAGCTTCTGCTACTGAACTTACAAGTGTGCTTTATTTTCAATGTTATCAAACAGTGTTTTTTTTTCTTGCTGTGACTAGCCTAAATTTCCTACTGTTCAAAAAGCCTGGCTTCCCACACATATGTAGCTGGAGGCTGGCAGTCTATCATTTCACATCAAACAATAAACTCAGCATGCAGAAAAACATATACAGAGATTTTCGTTTACTGTAATTTAAATACACCCACATGCTTACTACACTCTACAGTGCTGCTTGAACGACAGCATTTTGTTATATTAAGAATGATTTTATCTCACCAGTAAGCTATGGACAAGTTTCTAATTCTCTTTCACCAAGTTCTTCATTTCAACAACCAAGATGCCATCATGGCAGAAAAGCGCAGATAAGTCTTTGTTCTCCACTCCATCAGGTAATTTGTACTGTCTGATAAAGCTTCTGGATATGAAACCGTGTTCATCCATCCTGGGACCATGCTGAGCTTTGATCAGGAGCCAGCCTTCGAAAGTCTGAATAATGATATCTTCGGGACGGAACTGCACGACATCCAGCAAGACCTGAAAGCGTGTGTTTTCCTCCTCCTGGCCGCTCGTCCTGACCCCAGCTGTACTTTCTGCCACACACCTTCTGTTGCTCAGTGCAGCAGTAGAAGGTCCTGGCAAAGCATATAAAGAGTGGTCCAGTTTGTGTGCTTCCAGTTCTTGGACAGCAAACTGCTCTTGATAACGTACAGGAGTTTCCACCCAGTGTCTTATAACGGCTTCTGCCATTGCTGAGGCAGGGAGGTAAGTCGCTGCTCCCGTCGTCACTTTGGGGAAGCTGCAGACTCCGAGTAAACTCTTCCCTGTTGCATGCCTTACCCACAGGCTAGTTCGTCAGTTGATGTCACCTTTCACTTTTAGCACAGGCAGAGCTTAACATTTAATAGGGCATGCTGTGCTCCAGTAGCAGGCGACTTGTTTCATCTCCTATTTGCTGACAATAGAGCCCTATTTATAGTGATGGAGTCCTGAGTGGCTTCAATACATGCACAGCTTCCATACGTAAGTAGTAAATGTAAACTTTTAATGCGCCTCTGATTATTGCAAAAGTGCGCCGTTTATAATTACAAATAATGAGCAGACAAATACCATGAAAAATTCTTTGGTCTAAATGGAGGTTTAATGATTCATTTTCTCCAAGCGATTCATGACAATAGATACAAACTCCGTATTTCTTCTAACTGAAACAAAAAGTTACTGAGGAAAGGTATTTAATTAGCTTGACAGTAGAAATGGAGCAGATTTCAACTTATGTAAAATGTAAAATAGTCAAGTGCATTGCAAGAGTTGTGCATAGGTAAAATATGGGCATGGTTAACCATGTTATTGCCAGGTGGAGGGAACTGTAATCATCCCTGCCCAAACTGAGGGTGCCTGAAGGACTGAGTCTGCGATCTTAGTGACCTACAAACACAGCAGAGCCTTCTCCAGTGTGTCAGAGAGTCAGCCTCAAGAACGCAGGGAGAGTTACAGCTCATGTTTCACAGCTTCCAGGAGAGGGCAGAATTATTTTCCCCCTGCAGAATAGCAAAGATGACTCCAAATACTTAATGCTATCAAATTGTCCCAGTAACCTTCATCTTCTGCAGCTTACCAGCTTAAATCTCTGATCCCATCCACCAGATGCATCTGGGGAGCAGGACTGATGACCTCAAAGGCTCTCTGTGGTGTAAACTGCTTGCCACCCAGTGATCTCATAGCAAATACTGCCTGCAAGTGTTAATAGTTTGGCTACAAGACCTAAGAGGAAAGTGCAGTGAAAAGGGAAAAGCATTTCCAAATTTTAGTATGTTTGTTAGAAAATCTCTCTAGCTGGGCTTGGCAACGTAAAGCAGAATGCACTATGGCAACTGATGATAAGAAGTTTATTTCCCTCAGTTGCAATGCTAGAAATAACCAAACGAAATACTTTTATTCCTTCTTGTCTGGCTATTGTTATTCAGACATGTCTCTCTCTTGGCCTTGTATCTTCCATTACCATGAAAATGGCAAATCAGTTTATATGGGATCTTTGGTTGCTAATCAACTGGAAGTACTGAAACAAAGAGGCAGCTTAATTTTAATAGCTATCAGAAATGAACTTCTATATTGAGTTAAGAACAAGAACAGAATTACTAGGCATATCTATAATTAAAGTTCTAAATTTGTTATTTTATTTTAGACTCATGAAGTTTGCATTGCAAGATGAGGAAATTCTCAAAGCTAGATCAAAGACTCAAGATAACTTACATTAGTGGCCAACCATTTTAATTGAGTATTGTGGGAAAGGAGAGTTATGCTACTCTATTTAAATATTGGCTCTTCTCCTGTTAAACTGTCCTCCAGAAATAACGTAAAAATGTAATTCTGAACGTATGGCTTGCTAAAATAGTGATAAAAGTAACCTGGAGTATTGCCCATTATCTGTTAAGCAGCTGTTTTCTGTTTTGCTAGCCAATGATTCACTCGATGAGGAAACTTTAACCCTAAAGCAAAGGAGTATGGTTGGTTGGTTGTAATAATATGCTTTTAGAGATTACTAAAAATTTTTGCCGTCCCCACTGAATTATGTGATGATAGTCTAGCTTATTTTGCTTCAATTTTGTACTTCTTTAATAATCATACTGTGAAGGAATATTTTGTAGTTCTTTTTAATTACTCCCATCTTTTCTGGGAAAAGGTAAAGTTGCCTATACCTACTCTTTAAATTAAAACAGAAGTCACCACCTCAGTGTAGGTCGCTGTGGGACAGCTACATCTATTCCCAGAAACAGTTGTGTTAGTCTTTCAAATGTCTATGTTAAGCATACTTGGAACTGTCTGTCTGGTCTAATTAGCACAGAAGATGCTTTGAATACCCTTTAAATTCATGTCGGTCAGAAAGGTCTACAGAAGTTTATAGGGTCTCTCTCTACTCTATGGGACAAGAAATCAAGACGATTTTTGTTAATTAAGTTGTTTAGCCTCTTTCTGCTCTCCTGTCTTGCTCTCTCCGTGGTCCCGGTCGCCTCTTTTCTCTCTTTCCCACTCACAGGCTCAGGAATTAGCACCAGCTATCTTTTGTCTTTGTTGCTAACACAGAGAATATGCCAACTGGAAAAAGAAAACATCCTTGAAATGCAGACATCCCAGAAATTTAGAATATATTTCTGGTCTATCAAACTTAAATATGGATGTGGTGCTGCAATAACTGAGGAACTTCTGCTGCTTATGCTGTTACACTTTTTAAAAATCTATAGCCCACTTCAGTCAAGCAATGCATTTCAATGGCAATTGATTACTGAGATTCTTTTAAACTTTCAGGGCAGATCTGGCAGGAGTAGGATCAATGTTCTTAATTGCTAGCTCAGTGTGTTAGGTTTTCTTTCTCAATTTTCCTGTGGATGCAAAGGCCTCACCCCATCTGCAGAGCAGGTGGGATACCACTGGCAGGCGTGGGAAGTATCGCAGGGCTGTTCTTCACAAAACTGAAGTGAGGCAAGTAGTTTTCATCGCCTTGCATTTGTCAGTCCATGCTCCCTTTTGCTGGTCAAACCTGTTTAGGGTCTCTACCTTTTGAGAGTTTTCTAAAGGGAGGAATGAGATCCATTGGAAACTTGCTGGGAGAAACAGGTTACCAGTATAAATGGGCCACACCGACATCTTGTGGTGAGAGTAGAAAATAGCTGCGAAAATAAAATCACTGCTGCTCGCTGCGTGCTCATACCTGGTACCGTTACCACTCTGTGAAATGCTTGTATGGAAAGACAAAAAAAAGAAAGTAAACTGCAAGACTTTAACTTAAGATAGGCTACTTTCAAGCTAATAGAAGCTTCTTTCTCATTATTTTGGAGGGGGGAGGAATAAATATTTTCTTCACGTTGATCTCGTGGAAAATACAGAAAGCAGGCAACCTGGTAAAGCTGTAAATACTGTTACTTGCAAAAAACATAAGGTGCACAAACTAATGGATGTAACACATTTTTGATGCATATCTTAAATGCAGGTGCATCCTGCTTGACACAATTAGCGTGCTTGATTCCTGGAAGACAAGTATGTATTTCGTCTACTGTTGAAATTCAGTAATTGCTGAAAGGGGAAAAAAGTGATGAGGCTGACAGGATGAAGTGAATGCGGGATCTCCTACCAAAATCTAACTGGCTGAATTCTAACGAAAGCCATGTAATTATCCAGATGAATTTAGGCAGAGCACTGCAATTAATTACTCACGATATACTTCATGTATCATTCAAAAGACTGCTGTGACTTCAGACTCAACAATACATAAAAAAGGTAGAGAAGAGCAGGAACAGGTGGGTTTTATAGATGCTAGCTCTGTTATACCCAATATGGGAGTTTAAGCTTTGTGGTGATACCAAAGAGCTAGATAGTAAAATAAAATGTGGATGAGAATGAAATGTTTGAAGCACTTACGGAAAGTGGATGGTAAAAAGCTATTTTTCACATGATATTAAATACATTTTTGTTTAATGAAAAAATTATTGTCTCCTACTGTCACTTTGTCATGTATTATCACTTTAAATCCATTACTTCTTGGAGCTACGTGTTGTCCTTTTAGCTGGAATTATTAGATCTGGAAATAAGTAATCTCTGAAGGAATCTAAAATATAATCACAACTGCAGCAATTGTCTAATCTGCACATACCAGGTGTTCTGTTATCAAGAAATATTGTGGGATTCATTTTTATTAATGTCACATTCCAATCACATGGTATTTATATTAGTCAATGAAGCACAACATAACTCTCCTGCAGCAAGACTTCATGCTGTGTTACAAAACTTCTTGCAAGTTATAAAGGCTGTGTTGTTACGCAGTCAATCTCACTAAAGGAAGGCTTCAGTCCAAGGGTCACGTCCTTCAAAACCTGGAAAAGGCTGGATCTGCCTAACCTTTTGGAAAATCTCTCCAGGGCACTGATGCTCACTTGCAGCTATAAACTTGATCTCCTAATTTTAGAGGCCTCTTAAGAAGTGGAAAATTAATCTCAGCTTTTGCATTAAGAATCAAGTGTTTGCTCATTTCTTAGGAAGCTATTTAAGAAATGTAAGTAAGCATGGAAAGAACTGTCATTTTGATATGCTACACTCACTATTACAAGACTTTTTTGATGCGTTGAGATGATAGAAGGGCAGATGAAGTATGAGGACAAGGGATGACAGAATCACATCAGCTGCTGTTGGAGCAACAACATCTTTGCAGAACACTGAAGGAATAAAAACAGCAACTTGTATAATAACTATTTTAAAATTCCAAGTTACTATAAAAGTTATTTTAAAGTGATGTCATAGATCTCTTTACAGGTCTTTGCCTTGTTATTCACATGAGGGTTTTTTCTAAATATTTTTGTATCTGTTACACGCTAATGCATCTTAGAGATGCATTACAAATTCTTGATCGACTTCTACAGAAAGCAAACTACAGTATTTTGTTTAGACTGATAATAATTTGTTCACTTGCATGCAGAACAGTAGAGAAGAAATGAACAATTAAAAGAAAATAATGTGCCTAAGGGCTTGGAAGCTCTATTTTGCCACTGAAAGGCAGGATCTAATGCCCTCTTACTGTAGAAACAATCTTATTTTTCATCAGTTAAAAATTAACTAGTGTTCCAAGAAGAATGCCAGTTTTCCGGTTTCCTCCTCCTCTGTCTCACTGAAGTCTTGACTTGAGACTTCATAGGAATAACTCAAAGCAGTTGAGTACAGTAAGACTGATGTATTTATTTTGGATCTGTTTACCTTGCTTCACT